AAAAAAACTTTTGATCGACGACTTGAGAACACACTCCCACTACAAAATGAACATATTGTAGGTGTTATCTATAGAAGATAGAAGTATATCTTTTCACTTATGTTAGAAACAATTAACTCTACAGATGAAAACGTTATATACGTACCAGCCGAATAGCATTGGTCTCCCCGTAAGTGGCTCATTCTTTCGCAAATTTTATCCGCTAGTAACTGCTGCTTATTACAACAAGTTTAATAAAAAAAAATATAAATTGTGACGCATGTATAATTTAAGCGTTATCACGGGAATTGTAATTAGAAAAGTTATATTATTTTATAATCTTAACTTTTATTTGATCATTTATTAAATATTTGTTTTTTAAATTTGCTATAAAGAAAAAATATGTTTACTAAATATTTTTTTGCCATGCTTTGGTTTAGCCAAAAAGAGCGTTGTACGGCACAAAAGAAAGGTAACAATATAATTGTATTCCTGAGTTTAATTCCATTAATTTTACTTGCACAATTTTTAGAAAATAAAAAGGTGGACACATGGTCTCGAATCAAAAAACTTTTAGGTTGCCGGAACAAAAGAGATGGAATTGAAATCTTAATTTTTATTTGATCATTATATTATTCAATTTGTAAAAATTTAAAAAATTATGTTTGCTTTTTGTCTTAGGAAGAAAAATGCTGCTATTACCGCACCAAGGAAAGGTACAATTTAATCGTATTCTTGAGTTTAATTCCATTATTTTTACTTGCACATTTTTTAGAAAATAAAAAGGTGGACACATGGTCTCTAATGAAAAAAAGTTTTGGTGGCCGGAACAAAGGAGATGGAATTTGGCCTGATGACCTTGTTGTCGAAGCCTTGTTGACTGGTAGAAAGAATGAATCCCCTATTTTCAGAAAGTGTTTTGAAAATAAGGAAAGGTGGGTGATTGTGAAGATGAGTCAGAAATATTTGTCAAGAGTTACAAAATACGATACATACTAGTTCATTTTAGTATCATCTTTGTTTATTAAAGAACAATCACACTCGCCGTATGCCTGTACAAGACCAAGACGATTTTCATTCTCTTTGATTTTTCGAAAGCACTTTTAGAATATGTGGGTTAAGAAAGTTTGTCCTTACAGGGATTATCTAACATACCTCTGACAACTCCTCTACCCCATCTTCACAATCATTCACCTTCCCTATACCCATATTTTCAAAACACTTTCTGAAAATAGGGGATTCACTCTTGTTATCACCCAACAAGGCTTTAAGTACAAGGTCATCCGGCCTTATACCATCCATCTTTTTTCTCGCACCAAAACATTTCATTAGCGACCATCTGGCCACCTTTTTATTTTCTAGAGAAGTGCAATTAAAAAAAATGGAATTAAACTCAAGAATACGATTAAATTGTACCTTTCCTTGGTGCGGTACTAGCAACATTTTTCCTACCAAAAAAAAGTTTTTCGAACATAATTTTTAAAATTTTTCAAATTTAATAATATAAAGATCAAATAAAAGTTAAGATTCCTTGATATCATGAAACGTAATAAAGATCGTAATATTTTGATGAATCGTATTGCTTACGATAATATATCAAATCTTTTCTAATTACTATTTCCGCGATAACGCCAAGTTTAAATCAGCATCATAATTAATAATAGATTATTATTATTAAACTTGCTGTAATAAGCAGCAGTTACTAGCGGATAAAATTTGTGGAAGACTGGAACGCTTAATAAGTCGGATGGTAGGGTAAGACGAACGTATATAACGTTTTCAACTTTAGAGTTAATTGTTTGTAACATAAGTGAAAAGATAAATTTATATTTTCAATATATAATATGTTCATTTAGTAGTGAGAGCTTTGTTAGATGTTGTCGATCAAAAGCAATTTTTTAACCCATATGATCTTAAAATCAGTAAATAACTTTACAATCTATGTAAATGGTGGAGGGCTAAGGTTATTTCCTCCGCATAGAATCGAGCATAGTGCTTGGGTAATCTGGAGTGAGGTTGCCTCCACCGTCAACGTACCCCATAATAAATGTGTAACTGTAAAATAATATATAAATAATCCATCTTTTATTATTAAAATTTATTGTTGCAAAATATTCCTTCAAATTTTTTAAAATTTATAAGAGACACTCTACACTTTTAAGAAGCATTTTAAAAACTTTAATTTTCATTCATCCTTTTTTAGAAATAATTTTATTTTATACAATATATGTATTTGTTTGTATACGATATTTCTGTCAATTCGAGATGTAAGTATGAACATTATAAAACTTTTATATTGAAATCGTTAAATTTGAATTAAATGTCTATTATTATAATTTTATTCAAAAAAAAACGTACAAACCCTTTATAAATTTAAAATTTTTTTAAAAATGGCTTAATCACACTCCCCCCCCATCCTTATCCATCAAGGATAGGCATGCTTTAGAGCGCCGGCTTATGCGGCAACACTCTTTATTGATGATCTTATTTTTATATGAATTACTGGCTACGTATCCAAAATTTATCCATGGAATTAATAACAAAAATTTAAGAACTTCGCCCCTCACTTAATGGATTTAGTCATTTTTGATTTAAAGTTTACCAACAGCTTAAAGTACTAAGATACCCTACTTACTATTTATTAACATGTCTTTTCAGAGATGTTTCCAAAAAGCATGAATGTATTTAGACGGAAGGATATCATAGTTTCTATCTAGCTTCTAATGTGTTACTTATTTGTTGTAGGTAAAATTGATTCAAGATATAATAAATAAGAAACTTTATATTAACGGAAGTCAGATTTTTATTAATTCACCTTGCTTTACATGACACCAATTTTTGTATATTTTCTATTCTTTTAACAAAATGAAAGCAAATTTTTAGTTTAGATATCAATATAAAAAGTATTACGGACATAGAAAATTTTTATCTATTCATATCTTCAATGTCGATGTACGCCATTGATATTAAGAAATAATATATTAGATATCGAAGAAGAAATAATAGAACACCAAATTAATTTAGTTAAGAATATTTTAGTTCTGTAGGCTTAAAGCGGGTTCATTTGACGGGAAACAATTGTGACGAAGTAAAATGGGAAAGGATAAGCTAAATGGCCTTGAGGCTGATGTTTAATGAATAAGGATTGGTAAAAGGAATAAGTGATATATCCGTCCCTCTTAAAGGTCGATAGAAGGAATACGGAGAAACAAGTTGGGGTGAGTACTGGGATAATGATAATGTAAAACTGATTAATAATGACACTCTAACCAAATAATAATTCTTGAAGAGAATATAAACAACCAATCCAAATCATAAATCTATATGGTGGTTATAGCTTCCTTTTAGATGACATGATGGAAGCTTAAGTAATAGGAAGAATTATTGTGAAATACTAAATTTCTAAAAGAATATCTTCCATTTTTATTGATATATAAACGATTAGACAGTTATTGCGCTTTTAAATTATGTAATCATATGCTCTCAGCAGTAGGAGCAATAATCTTAAATTACATTATTGAAGCCTTGAGTTATACATGACAAGGCTGCCTTGTTAGAAATGAAACATTTTGTAACATTAAGATTTTATATATTATTATCTAATTGATATATTATATCTTAAAATAATTGTAGTTTGTAATAATATCAAAATATTAACGTATTACAAATTTAAATCAAAACTGTTTTTCAAAGAAGAAAAAAATAGCTTTCCTAAAAACACATAATAAAAATAAAAGGAAAAAAAAAATATTTAATAAAGATATATCCATTGTAAGATGAATAATAAAATGTTTTATTTTAATATAATTTTACTTAAATAAATAGGTGGCGTAGAATTGAATGCAAATTGTTACTTATATTTATTTTCAAAAGCATTTATTAGTAAAATTTATTAAAATATTTATTCAATAACTGTCAAATATGCTTATAAAAGTTTCAATTTTCATAATATTTTATAAATAATTATATATAGAGGATTATAAACTATATGTCTACTTACTTTTAAAAAGAAATCTCTTATTCGGACATTGAAAGAGTTTTAGGAAGAGACATGGTAATTAAATTAAAAAATGAATAATATAGTTGATTAATGATTTTGAACTCGTAATTACATTAATTTGTTAATTTTTAATTAATAAACGACGATATTTATTTAATTAGGGTTATATAATAATTTAAATAATAAAAGTCAATTAAACTTCAACTGTTAATGCTAAATATATATTTGGTTAGTGATATTGATATAATAATACAGAATTTGATTGAAAAACTGATATAGTAAAATATATTTATTTGTATTAATATATTTTAATAATTAAATTAGTATACATTTAATAAAAATTTAGATAGCCTTATTAATTTTTAAATAAAAAAGTTAAATCTATACATTATTTAACAGATTATAAAAGAAATCGCTTAGGAGGCAATCAAAAAAATTTATTTTATTTCAAGGGAATATTAAGAAGCCATTTAAAAAAAATTTTAGCTTCAGGGGGCTATTCAAATTTTTCAGGGGATCGAGTCCCTGCGCGCCCTCTTCCAGTGACCCCACTGGTCATATATTAATGAATTAAAATATTTCCAAAATTGTATTTCTTTTAATTCCTACCGATAAAATGCAAACTAAATTGTTTATATTTTAAAATAAAACTTTAAGTTTAATCCTATTTTTTATCTGATAATTTTTCAAAATTGTGGTAGTAAGATAAATAGCATTTATAAAAGAGTTTGTTGACAAAATAATATTAGCCAAATTTCTTTTTGAATATTTATATATTTTATTTCTCCATAAACATCGAAGCCATATTCAAATTTAAGTCGACAAGAGACAAATATATCGAGCTTGATAAGACAGTATGACGTTTGTACCTACTGTTTTTAAGAAAGGTTGCATTTACTGCACGATTAAAAAATGGTTATCGCTTTATCAAGAGGTATATAATTTTTCCAATTAATCTACTTTTTATGTTTTTTAAATACTGGTAAAAATAATTTATCCCTTAAAAAATGAAATAACCAATAAACATTCGGTCATTGTTTAATTTTAAAAATAAAAGGAATCATAAGGCGAATTAAGCATATATTCTTATTTTTTATTCAACGCACATGCCATCAGAAGAAACATTTTTGGTATTTATATAAAATTCATTCTAGATATTATAATAGACTTTAGCCACCATCACTCTATGTGATTAAAGCTATCTTGATATTAGATAATGATGGTAATCGATTGATCTCAAAGGTTGCATTGATATATCATAATTTTATTAATCATATTTTTTTTAGTATTATGATAATACTTTTAATGGTATAAAAGAGCAAAAAGCATTCGAAAAAAATTTATTCACGAAAACATATCGAGCTAATTGTAAAATTTAATGATAAATTTTATATTAATTTTTTTTTGTAAGCTGAAATTATGATGCTTGATGGGTTGACCTGTTTGTATAAGAGCAATGTTGATATTTATTTTTATATTATTGGGAGTCAAAATGAAAATCCTGTAAAGTTCTGGATAAAAAAAAGTTGTTATGTAAAATATTATTCTTCTAGATTATGCTGTTAAACATTTTGAATACATTGTATGACACAGTGAATATTATTTTGAGAAAAAATATAGAAAAAAAATATTTTATGGAAAATTTGGACTTAATGTTCCTAGCCATTGATGAAATATGTGATAGAGGGTATTAAAAATAAAATAAATTAGAACATCATTATTTAATATATTTAAAGCATATTTATGACATCTTCACCAAGTTTAATTATTCAACAAATTATGTTGCGTAATGATGATATTCCTTTAACTGAGCAAACAATGGCTCAAGTAATTTCCTCTATATAATTAAGAAAATAATATATTTACTCATTATGTATAATTAAGGGTTGCTAATCCTTCAGCATAAAAATTGAATTCATTATTGTTAAAAAGAGGAATCATGATCCTAATATGTTAGTTTAATGAGTCATTTTATAGTTTAACTATATTCCATATTTGCTAACAAAATCCTAGGGTTCTAATTTTACTTTTAAAAGTTTCATTTATTCAGGTTTAAATATTACTTGATTCATTTAAACAAATATAATATAATTCAATTAATTTTAAAAAACTTATAATTTATATCCCATTACCATTAGAAAATGATGATTTCTAAGTTTGAATTTGCTTATTAGAAACATTATATTATAGGCCTGAAAAATTGATTTTATTTGGCTTATGTCTGGCAATAAATTAATATTTACACTTTGGCCTGTATTGCCCAACTTATATCATGGCTTTAGAAAAATCTTCTACGATATATCTTTCCATATATTATTAAATCATGATCCTTTTTAATATGTTTATTTTTATGATAATAGTTAATTCTCAGAAGATAAAAAATGCTATTTAATAACATAGTTGATTCCATCTTTTATCTGCCACTTTGGTTTTTTATAATTGTGATATCAGGGGGGGGAAAGACACAAACCTCATCTCCACCATGTTAAAAGTGCTTGGCTGACTTGCTTCTTGATTCAATCAACGTTTTTTTCTATGTGCGCGTTGCATATTTATTTTGCCATAAAATAATTAGATCCCTTTTAAGATAATAGGATTGGTGGGGGGTGGTTTGTCTATATTTATTTCCTTAATTTATTATTCGCCTCGATCTTTCCTTGTTTATTAACATACTAAAAAATAAACGAATACAAATACGATTAGCTCCCCCCCCCCCCATCCACACATTTATTTTCTGATATTCCCACCCCACACTCGAAAAATATTTTGCGCAAGTTTCCTGGGTCGAAATGATTTTTTTTAAAGGGGGTATTGGGCCGAGTGTTTATTTTATCGGAGTTATACTGACACACTTAGCTACCGTGTTATGTCGAGCAAAAGGCAGCCATATTTACATTAAAATACAGAAATTTCTTAGAAACTTTTATACCAATAAAAATTGTTTTTTTCATAGGTGTATCAGGCAGCAAAAGATCAACTGAAGTATCATCTTATGAAATGAAAAACGTTCCTCGAATAATTTTTTTTAAAATTATTATACTTATATTTATTTTGTATCAAAATCAAATCACTTGTAATAAGTAAATAAATAATATATATCGGCTTATTTAAATGTGATTTATTTAATAAAAATATATTATAATAAATTCATTTTATACTTGGAAAATTAAAATAAAAATTTTATATAATTTACCTTTTTATATGTTAGTGCCAATGTGTTTTTTTTTCTTCTGGGAATGTGTTATTTTTTACAACTTTAAATCGTTTTTTGAGCACGTTTTTAAAATCTAAAAAACGGAAATATATTCTATCATGTATTTGGAATACCTAACTTATGAATTATAGGTAATTTTATCGTTAACCTTTGATTGATTTATAATTTATGCGAAAAATTAATATAAATTATATTGAGTTCAAAAGTTCATAGCTAAAGTGTCCGATATTTATAGGTAAGTAGGTATTCCAAACATGCTGGAATTAGTGTAAAAGGGCTAACCTCAATATTTCATCCAAAAAAAATACTAAGCAAGCCTGAAGATTTTGCTCGAAGAAGGAACAAAGGTCTAAGACATTATATTAGCGAAATCTCTAGGCTTAGGCATTATTTTTCTGAAAGGAATATTAAGTTAAGCGTTTTCAAAAATCGGCTGGAATGGATATCCGGTATAATTAAAATTTTGAAATTTAAAAAAAAACGAATTCAAGTTGAAAAAAATTTATCATGTTGCCGGAAAAAAAAACATGTTGACGCTAACACATATATATATTTAAAAGCTTTGCGTTCAAATAATTCCCTTTAAAGTTTTTAATTTTTTTTTTCTTAGAAGCCTTATGCAGAGATGTTTTGGGTCCAATTTTTCACCGAAATCATATACTAAATTTTTATTTTACCGGGCAGGGTTAACTACAGAATCTTATATTTTTTTGTATTAAGTTCATAATGCATTGCAAGACCACTTAAATAAACTTAAAACTACAATGAAAAAAAAGTTTTTATTTACTGGTATGTAAGCCGAGCGAAATTTTTTGGAGAACAATGGTGAATTCCGGTCAAAATAACAAAACAGATTGGTCCTATGTCGAGGATAATAATGAAGGCGACATTTAGCTTAATTAAAACCCGGAATAGATAAAGATATGAATGCTTCACCTAAGATCTAAGAACAGAACCGGCTGATAACTCAAAAAGGAGTTTCTTACAGAATCATTACATGAAAAATGGATTACAGAACAAATAAATTAATTAGACATGCACAAGGATAGCCCTCATAGTCCCGACGGTAGCAGCAATCATGACCACAAATATTCGTCCAAACACTACACCGTTGGAATAACGATATCATATGCATACAAAATTAAAAGTGGAGAAAAAAGCAGAATTTCACTAAATTTTTCCTTACTCTTTTCACTTTTATGTCCCTTTAGTGGAAAGGAAGAAAATGAATGAGAAAGATGGAAGGCAGGGAAAAATTCACTTATTAGGTCTAAATAAATTAGATATGCTCCCGATTTTTAAAAACGGATAACTTAATATTTCTTTCAGAAAAATAATGCCTATGCCCTGAGATTTCGATAATAAATGTACAGACCTTTTCCTTATATAAGTAACATCTTCAGGTTTGCTTAATATATAAATAACAAAAATTTAAGTCCCATTTTAATATTGCTAATCTTTCTTTTAAAATAATTGGATTTTTTTTTAAAAAAAAAAAATGTATAAAATAAACAATATTAATATGATCTTATATCAGGGATGTGAACTCTTCGACAAAAATAAGGGTTCGGATCCAGGTTTGGAGATCCTTCAAGAAATACAGATTCATTTTTTAAAATTTTTTTTATACTCCCGTATAGAAGTAAATTCATATTTTATTAAATGTTTTACTTAATCGCATATGGCCCTTAGGATCATTTATAATAAAATATTGCCTACAAGCTACCAAATTCACATATATCACCTACAAATTAACATAAATTAAAACAAGATATTACCGATAAAAATGGAAGTATAAAATAAAAAAATGATTTCTCGAATTTAAATGAAAAAAAATTTTTTTTTTGACACCTAGAACCCTCGACTTTTAAAAAATGTTGGGGTACAGACAAAATACCAGGAGTCCGGAGAGTTCAGGTTCGGTTTCACATCCCATCGGATTGAATTTTTATAAATACAGGTCTGAAACCGATATAAAAACTCGAAATATCCGGATATTCAATCTCGGTTATAACTTTAAATTATTATTTTCTATTTTCAAGTTAATTTTTTTTTCTTAGCCTAGTAACATCATAATTAAATTATTTATTTTTTCGAGATACCATTTGTAAAATGACTTAATACTATCCCATGGGGTCATAATAAAGTATATCAAAAATTAATATTGTAAATATATAAATAATTTGTTCGTCACTCATCTCTAATCATTTAGAAATGAAAATATATAATTTAAGTATTTCAAAACAAAAAAAATGTATGTAAAAATATTAGATAAAAATGGATTTTATTTTTTTGTGTGTGTATGAGATGCTTCGTTTTTTATTGTGACAAGGTAGAATCGCGAAATGAGCTTTTTATTGGTTGATTGATTGACTGACTAGGTTCGATTGCATTTGACGCATATTAAATAACGATCGTGTAAATAGAGGGCGTATTTGTTGTCCCCTTCGTTGTTCAAGAATCTGTGACAAAACTTTAATTTTTGTTTTGTTTTCGTATATATAAATAATAAATAAGAGATTATAAAAAAGGGAATATGAAATTAGCCCTCAGGGGAAGAATTCATCAATACTCTAAAACAGCTGATAGGATTGCATCTTTTACCCCATTAATGGTCAAGATTTTTCTAGTGGATAAAAATGATCAATTTTTTCTAAAAGTCAAAAAAAATAATCCTAAATAGAAAATCTAGCCTGGTGCATATCTGCACTGTTAACCATTAATATGTTAAAGTAACCTAGCCCAACACGTTGGGGTAAGCATAGTATTAATAGCCTGGTTAAATATAAAAATATTTAATGGAAGAAATAGCAGTATCGATATTTATTTATTGACTAGTTGATATCCCGTCAAGAATGACGGGAATAATAAAATCTTGAACTATATTATATGAATTTTTTTTTGAATACATTTTTTTATAGAAAATATATGACAAATTTTAGTTATTATTTATTCATTTTATTAAATTTAGCGTAAAATATATGAAATTGTAATAAAAAATGAGTGCAGTGTAGATATTTATAAATTGGTATTGTATGTCATGAGTTCAAATATTGTCGTTGAGATAAAATTTTTATACTGGCATATTTTGGGGTGGTAATATGAGATAAATGTATTGGCTAAATATAATTAAAATTTATTTGTTAAATCTAAATTATGTATTTAGGATAAGTGAGCGAGGTTAATTTTCTGGCATTGGAAGATATTGACAAATAGGTATTTTATAATATTTGCACTCCCATATTGTGGTTGAGATAAAAAAAAATTTTTACTACCATATTTTGTCTGTAGTAAATAATTTAAATTTATTTATTAAATCTAAATTGTATTAAAAAAATAATTTATAAAAATTAATAAATTTTACTTTGATTGAATATAAATACTTTCGCTAATTATAATTTAATTTGCTATTTTAACTTTAATAATATTCATTATTATCATAATTTGAGGTGAGATTAGTACTCTTTTTAATATAACACAATAAGATCTAAATTATATAAATTAATCGAAAAATATGTTAATAGCAAATTAATAACATATATAAGAAAGATTATATTACAAAATTTAATATAGAAGGTGGCTGAGTGGGAAGAACGGTTACCTTTAAAACGTTAAGTCATGGGTTCAAATCCCGTGATGTACAAAAATTCTTAAAATTTAACATTAGAGATATATAGTCTCCATCGATTTATTTAACATTAAGAAGATAGGAAAGTTGATAGAAAAAATAAAAATTAACATTAAGATTATACGAAAACATTCATTTTATGATTACGGTGATTATATATATAGATTAGATAGGAAAGAGACCTTTATCTTCTCGATAATGAAGATCTGCCTCCATTCTTAGAAGAACTAAGAGTACACCTAACCCTAAAAGGTGCGAAATATACCCTAATATACACTAGTGTATTGAGATAGTGAAAGCGGATAAATCCAATTTAGCTGACGTTCCGCGAGGGCATTTAATTTATTCATACCAGGGGAGAATATTATAACAAATAAAGAAATAATAAATCTTCCGCGATACGAGTGAAGCTCACCACCATGTTTAGGGTTATTAGATTTATCACGTGATAACCCTCTTTTTTTAAGGGCGAATGATATATATACTTAAAAATATTTTTAAAAAAAATTTACGTCGCATTTGAAGCAATCCACATGGAATTCCTTTTCGAAGTAAATTACGCGTACGATTTCTCCGGTTTGCTTTGGAAATATATTTTTTTTTAAAAAAAGAAAAAATTGGCGATTTATGGTGATCGCCATGTGCGTTAAAAAAAATTTGGGGACCATAACCCTCCCTCATTTACAGTTAGCGTCAATTGGTGGCGGAGAATGGAAAAATACCGCGTATTTTGAATAATTTCACCGCTAATTCGCGGTATAACTATGAATGAGGGATAGGAGTGATACAGAAAATAGGCTGTTTTAATTTATTCAAACAAATAATATGTATTAAACTGAAGATAAATTTTTCCAATTCAGAGGGTTGGCTCTAACAATATGTCTGAAAACATTTCCGGTAAAAATCATATTGCGAGATTCCGAATCCCTGGTAGCTTCCATTTTAAATCAGGGTTTGAAAAAATTAAATCTTCAAAAACCTATGAAGATCTGAAATTTTTGATTAATTTTTACCTAAATATTTTATTTTAAGTAAATCTTTCGCAATTTTCATACAACAAAAACAAAATATTTCTAAGATGAAATCAAAAAAATAAAATTTTATAAAAACTTTTGTTTTAAAAATATATGATTTTTAATGCTAAATACCCTGGCTTAAGAGTTCCTAATTGTAAATAGAAATTAATTAATATATTAGAAAATAAATTTTGAATATCATTGTGTAATAGAATTGATATAATAAAAAATATTAGTGCAATCATTGTATTTTACAGAATTGATGAATAATTGTTTTTACTGATAGCAGCTTCTTGAGGGAGAGTGGTAATATCATTTTGAATAGCTTTATAATTGATATAATGAAAATATTATGCATCATATATTGTATTTTTACAAATCGGTGGATAATTGTTGGTGGTATTTTCTTGAATTGTAACTATGTAACATATTAATGATAATAATTTGTAATATTTTGTAAATAAGATATATTTAATGTTAGTACTTCTTTGACATCCAATACTTGCATAGGAATATGGAAGTTTTAATACAAAGGTAAATATTGTTAAAAGATGATAATTATAGCAACTGTCTTAGTTTGAGAACATGCATTTGCACCAAAATGATTTTTTAAAATTTTGTAATAAATTAATTGAATATTTGAGGTCTTACTTTGGCATCCTACAGTTGCATAGGTAACTGAAATTATAGGCTTCATATGTTTGTGTAGATATTGAATCACAAAAATATTTTTGACGGCAGATTGAATGCATCTATAATATATTAATACAAAATTTATCAATAATTTATAAACCCGTCAGGAAATAAACCCTTCTTAACAATCCAGCGTCCATGGAATGGTTTATGTACATGTGTAGTAAGTTGTGTAGCTATTATAGTCTTTACGCATTTTTTAAAATGATTAGACTTAGCCATTTTGAAACAAGTTTCAGTTAAAAGTTTATATTTTTGTTATAAAAAAAATTCACGTTTATAAGCTGTAAATGATAATCACTTTTATTTTCACATTTTCCTAAGGCAATCAAAGATTCGCTATAAATGGTTCATGATAAAAGTCTCGCTATAACGGGATTGTGATAAAAGTTTCGCTAAAATATATTAGCTATAAAGAATTTATGGTTAAGGTTTAGCGAAAATAAATCCGCCATAATGGGTTCGCGATATCGTCTTGTCTTAGCTATAAATGTTTCGCAGAAAAAAATTCGCCCAATTGTTCCCGATGAACTACATTCACTAAAAGTTTTGGTAAATTGATCTGATACGATTAGAATATCTTTACTGTTAGGAATACATGTATGAAAACCTATCGTCCCATAGTAATCGAATTGGGATTATGTTTATATCTTTTTGTAGTTTTACGAAGTAAAAAGATGAGTATCATTTACAGCTTAAAAACGTGATTTTTCTTATATAAGCTTCTAAATTTAAACTGTTTCAGATGGCAATGCCTAATCATTTAAAAAAAGCATAAAGACTATAATAGCTACACAGCTTACTTCACATGCACAAATAAACCATGCCATGGGCGCTGGATTGTTAAGAACAATTTATTTACTATGTCTAAAGAATGCACGAGTAGATAAATTATTGATAAATTTTATATATATTATAGATGCGATCTGCCTTCAAAAATATTTTTTTGATTCAATATCTGCTCAAACAGATGAGCCTGTATTCAGTTACCTATGAAACTGTAGGATGCCAAAGTAAAACCTCAAGATATTCTTTTACAAAATTTTAAAAATCCTTTTTGTGCAAATGCAGGTTCTCAAACAAAGACGGTTTTTATATACATATATTATAATTATCATCCTTTAACATTATTTACCTTTGTATTAAAGCTTCCATTTCCTATGCAAAGGATGTCAAAGTAATACACGAAATATATCTTAAAAATTATTGATTATTATCATTAATATGTTACAAAGTCACCCTCACCATTCAAGAAAATATCATCAGTCACAAATATTCACCAATTTGTAAAATACAATATATGAGGCATAATATTTTTATTATATCAATTATAAAGCTATTCAAGGTGATATTACCACTCTCAATCAAGAAGCTGCTACCAGTGAAAACAATTATTCACCAATTCAATGTAAAATACAATATGATACATAATATTTTCATTATATAAATTATATTACGCAATGATATTCAAAATTAATTTTCTTAATATTATATTAAATTTAAATATATTACTTACAATTATATTAATACTATAAACAATCATTTTATAACAATTAATTTAATATTAAATACATTGAATAATTTATATTAATTATGTAAATAATATTAATTATTATATTAAATTTAAATATATTTACATTAATATTAAATATGTAAATAATATTAATTATTATAATAAATTTAAATATATTTACATTATATTAAATAATACAAACAATTATAAATTTAATTATTTTTTATAAATATCAATTAATTTAATATTAAACCATAAAAAAATCTGCCTGATTTGTAATTTCCGATTGAAATATATTGGCGGCCATGTTTTAATTTAACTTTAATATTTTAAATTCTCTCGCTTCAAACTTTAGAGGGATGCCATTTTAGCTTATTTGCCTTTTTTGATATTTTTTAATATTCTGAAGAGTGGACCCAAATCGAATCTTATACCACGAATGTATTTGCGCGGGTCATTGTCAAGAGCGTATTACCGCGAAACACTAAATATATTGCGAATTCGTTTATTTAAAGGAAAAACAACATATTCAACATCAATTTACACACCAAAGTTCCTACTTAAATCATAAACGCGAAATATTTTAAGGATATTTTGTAACATATTGTCTATTAAGTAAGCATGCAACCTTTATCTGTGATAGAAAATAAATTAGGCAATTTCTTTGCGGTCTTTCTCACTCATGGTTGTAAGTATCGAGGGGAGATTTTTGGTTTAAGTATTTACCCCAATAAATTTGAACCCTACCCCCTAACATAAATTTAACACATGTGCTTTACCTTTATGCTATTAAAAGTAAAATTTTAGAAAATAATCGAAATGTTAGAGTTTTTCCAATCAAGATAAATAAAATATTGAAGTATAAGAATTTTTGCTGATTTTCTCAGATTTATTTTTAAAAATCATAAAAGATTTTGAGTAATTTGTTTAAATGTTCTCAGAATTATGTCATTCAATTTTCCGAATTATTAAGACATCAGAGCAATGATTAATGTTAAAACTCAAAAAAAGTGGTAAAATTTTTTGAGCGATATATTATATTTTCTAAGAAATTCAATTTTGAGAAAATTAAAATTATTTACTAAGCAAGATTATCTTTTGGAAATTCAGTAAAAATTACATAATGTCGTTTTAATTCTGAGGAATTTAGGGGTAAATAAATAATGTATGCTTTAGCATTAATCTTGATGTATTGTAATTAAGCATTACATATTGGCTTAAGCTTCAGAATTAGTGTTTGCCTAAGTTTGGCAAGCTTCATGCTTAAGGTTGTGCCTATATTAGATTCAGATTGCTAAGAAAAAAAATTTGAACTAATATTCAATATCTAGAAAAGAGATAAAAAAAATATCTATAAAGATAGTAAAATCATAAGATTGAAAATATGGAATTAGGAAAATCCCTTATACTTATGTGTAATTTTTTTTGAATCGGCATTAGATAGTCAAGTAGCTCATAACTCTGTTTTTGGTTTAGTGACTGGCAAAGCTGATTGATGAATTTATAAAATATTAAATACTTCAGCCAATAAATATTAGTTCAACAAGGATATCAATTTGGCCAATAAGGATCAAGGTTTAACTAATGAACTCACTTTACTAATGTATTAATTCCTCGTGCATGATTCTTATAAAATAATACTTAGATTTATTTCAATGATAACTTTTATAAACCAAAAAGTTCATTAATCTATCATTGAAATCAATCTTGAACCTATTTTTTAAAAAATATTAATCAATTAATATAATTATAAAAATAAATATTTCAAAATTAAATAGTAATTATTGGCTATTATTGCAATATTAACCATAATATTCCCTATTCACACCAGTATTCGCTGATGTGAATTTGCAATAATAGTTTCACAATAATAAATAACATTCGTGGTGTTTCCAGGAGATGATAAAATTTTTGTTAAAGTTTAATTGTTTAATTCTTATAAGGTACCTGGAAAAATGTAGCCTGAACCAATCAAAATTTTTAGTAGTAGTTAATAAATACTATTTAAAATTAAACTCCCCCTATTTAGTTATATTTGAATTTTTTATTAACACATGTATTATATAAATGTATATTATATTAAAATTGTTGTATTCAATTACTTCATTTGGAGTGATTACTTTTTGACATTTATGGCATTTAATGCTAAACATTCTTTATGTTTTTTATTTAAAAAAAGAATGTTTTATGAACAATCTAATAATTAACATTTGAAAAATTTTAATCAAAAAATAACAAACATCTTGAATTATATTATATTTTTAAAGTAATTGAGCATAGTAAAAATGATGAATAAAATTTATATTAATATTTAAATAGAATACTTGTGATAATCTTTATAGCAATATATTTTGTTATCCTTTCCCATAGTATATGGCACACCATCTAAACTTTTATTACAGATGAAACATCGAAAACATCCAGGGTGATAGGATTTGCCAAGTGCATGCAAAACTCTGTCCATAATTAAATGTTCACAGGAAGAACATTTTTCTGTAGCTTCTTGAAACCCTGAATACTAAGTTTATCAATAATTGTATAAAAAAATATAAAAATTACAAAATAATCCTCTTGGCAGAATATTTTTTCTTTGACCATGTAAAATGATTTATTTTTAAGAATTCTACCACATGCATTGCAGGTAAAACATTGTGTATGATATATTTTATCTAACGCTTGACAACCATTTTTTATATCATTTATAGGTTTCTGACAATATGCACAGATGCCTATTGAAGCATATCAAGATATTTATATATATATAGTTACCAATTTCCTTAAATTCTTTTTCAATTTTTGCTTCTAATTGAGCTGTCAATGATAATACCTTATCCTTTATATCCAATGATTTAGAATTGATGATTACAGTACCAAGTTTTAATTGATTATATTTATTCATTATATTCTTATTTATAGAAGTATTAGATGGACTAGATAATGGAATATTTTGGTATTATTATTTATAAATTTTAAGGTGTTTGTTATGGCCGAGGATAGGTGCAACCTAGTTGCAAATAAAATTGATGATATTGGCAACTAGTTGCAAATATAATTGATGATATTGACAATCTTTTTGATGGCCAATATAATTGATGATATTGACAATCTTTTTGATGGCCAATATAATCGCAGATAGGTGCAACCTAGTTGCAAATATAAATAATGATATTGACAATATTATATAAAAACTGATATATAGCAACTTTTAAAGTGTAAAAATGTTAAAAAATGACAACTTCCAATGTTGGTAAATTTAAAAAATGTTAAGCATATACCTACTTTTAAAATGAGTATGTGTGTATTTGGATCTAACTGAAATTGAGAAGAAATATACTCAAATGAATTCCTTATCCTGTTAAATTAATATCTAAAATTGTGTCATGTTTTAAAATAGACAGCTGATATTATTCTAATAAAAATATGTGATCCTTCACCTATAATTTAAAATTTTTCCTACTTTTATATTAATCTAATTGTTTCCATTTTTTTAGGTAAAATATTTTAAAATTTGACTTTAATAATAATAAATTAGAATTTAAAAAATTATATTTCAGTAAATTAAATGGATAAAATTATAAAAGAAGTTAAAAATACTGGAAATAATAATTAGGGGATTGTATAGGAAAAAATGTTATTAACCTCCAAAAAGCTATTTTTTGTTTTAATTCTAACATAACTTAAATAAAAAATGAGATAAAATCAAGTAAACGTATTTTATTAAAATAATTTTATTCAATAAAAACAATTTATTAACAACTATAATTCTAATACATAAATAATTACAATCATTTTATAATATAAAAGACGAATATAAATACATTTAAAACAATTATAACAAAACTAGTAAATATATTTAACAACAATTATTACAAAACCAATGAATTTTATAAGGTTTTTTCTTAATTTTTTGACATTTAAAGTGGAACCAGCACAAACAAATATCACAAATAATTGAAGCATCATCATCTAAAATGAGTAACATTTCTGACAAATCCAGGACTCCGCCATAATCTTGACTTGTAAATCTTGAACCTGTATCCAAGCTTGATTGGTCAAATATGATTTTATCATTTGAAAATCGACTTCATCATTTTTTAAACATTGCATACTATTTTTTATGGTAAGAATGTCATCAAAATCAACCATTTCATTATTATAAATTTTATTCTTTGCAGACTCTTTATAAATTTTATCTATAATCCATCTTGCCTTGTTTTCTTCAGACAAAGTTGTATAAGGTTAGATAACTTTTCTGATAAAAATAAATATATTAATATTATTTTTTTAAAATTACTATAAGTTATCTGACGATTGCCCAAATTTTTGGGTTTTGTATCACCTAATTTTATATATTAAAATATTTATATTTTTAAATATTAATAATAACCTGCATTTATTTTCTCATTGATTATGAAATTTATAAACTCCATTTGAGAATTGGTTATAATTGGTGTTCCTAGTTAAAATAATAATATAAATTATATTATGATATATACCTTTTCCTATGTCCTCAGCAAATTTAGGTATACTTTTAATACCAATTGCTTTACTTTATCATTATAAATATCAAAATGTTTCCTTTTGCTTTTATTCCCTTTTTTAGATAATCCTATTACAGATAAATCAGACTTCCTCGGCTTGCCTTGTCTTTTCATCCGAGCTGGTAATTTCAGAACTACGAATTTTTTTCAAAATCTAGTATTTTCTTTGTCTTAATAGAAATTAGCATTTTTTTTACATAAGAAAATAACCATCAATAGCGTCTTGTTTTCTTTGTTCCTCTCTTTCTATAATCATGTCCAGATCTAATGAAAATATAAATATATATCTAAAATATAATATATCAAACTACTTTCGAGTGCCTCAGATATTTTCTAATATTAGTTTAGATTGATCTAAATCTATAATTAAATAATTTTATAAAATAATAACAGATTTTAGAATATATTTGATCAATCAGCCAATTAATGATGTAAATAGTCCAAATAACAGTTTTTTATTGTATTATTTTAAAATCCTTATTTTATTCCCTTGCCCCATAAAGTAAATTTAATATATTGACATTTTAACAATGGCTGACAAAATTGTAAAATTATGCTAATCCAAAGTTTAATATTACCATCATCTTGTAGACATGAAGGCATGAAAATAGTTTTTTCTATTTCATTATTAGATAATGATATCTTCAGGATCTAAAAAATGAAAATGTTATAGTAGTGCAAAGATGAGGAATATAAAAACATTATTTTTATTAAAAATATACAATTACTTTGTAAGCTAGGGAGATAACAAAACACTGGCTATATTCTCCTTCCGCACGCACTTTTATAGAAAATTGATATTTATATTAAGATATTATATTATTACCATCATTATCTTCTAGGGCAGAGCTCCCAGAAACAACATCTCCCAGTACATCTTTGTCATTGGGATCTGATTATTATTATTTTAAAAAATATAATATAAATTAAGTTCACCTGCTAATCAGAGAATGAATATCTATGCTTTCATCTGATGGTATGAGGAAGAATAATTTTCCATCACTAAAACAATCATCCATTTTTTCAACTTGGTCAAATACAAAGTCAAAATTGTCTTGGGGTAGATTAGATATATAAGCAGCTTTTGGTACAAATGATTTTAAGATCTTGTTATATTTTTGCTGCTGTGATAATTTTTTTTTGTATTCATACATACTAACGATGTAATTGATATGTCTGTAGTATACGTTTGAGGTTGTTCAAGACTGCATTTCTTTGAATAATTCCTAGTCCATCTCACATTACAAAGTTCAGGATAGTATTTATCCATATTATATGCAGCCCTTAATGCCATTAGATGGCGGCATGGTAAAAGCATTGTGGTAAGATAACCACAAGAGCACTTATCCATAGATACATTGTAAATATTACCTAAATCATTGATTTTTATGGCTGTGAACATGTCATTGGCTAATACCGGTATGCTGATTGAATTACTAAGATTTATTTCATTGAGTATATTTTTAAAGGCATAGGTCAGCAAATTTCTATATTTGCTCTCAGCTGATAAAAGACTATAAGGAAATAATGAGCTTTTTTCATTGCTCATAATGCTTCTATAATCTTTTTCAAATGCCATTGAGTTAACTATAGAAATTACATCCTTAAATAGCCCTTTGAGGGTTGAAAATTTTGTTATTACCGCTTTGAACTTTTGATTCATTGACTCAACTCGGTTATTTGTCGAGTTAAAAAAATGTGGAACACATGATCTTAGCCCAATAACCCACTCGTTTTTTATATTATGCCAATTATTATTATAATATGCCATAACTTTTGGAAGATTTAAATTCACAAGTTTTAAATAAAGTAAATCATAATGCTCCTGTGATTGAGCATATACTAAACTCTGTAGAATATCAAGAACCAGCTTTACATCTTGCTCTGCTATATCACGCTTACCAGTACTGATCTCTCGTTTAAAACTTCGCATAACATGGAAAATACAAATGTGTATTTCTGCCTTTGGAAAACTTTCATACAACGCCTGCCTGTCTGCAAAATCTTTGTCTCCTATTATCACTTGAATATTATCTTTGATATTATATCTCCCAAAAATATCACACATTGTTTTTACACATTTGTATGTTTCTCCTTTAACTAACCACAAAGCTGCTATTTGTGATTGACCATCTCCATCAATTACCATTAAGATAAATAAAGGCATGCCAAGATTATTCAGTTTATAGGTTGCATCTATAAACAGGACCTCGGGATAGCATTTTACAAAATGTCGCATAGCTATGTCCTGATAAAAGATGCCCATCAGCTCATTGTTTTCTTCGTGAATTTCTACAATGGCATCTTTGTCCTCTCTTAATTGATTGACCACATCGATCAACATGTTGGTAGATGGTTTGTTTAGGTTTGCTGAAAGATTGTGAATGTCTCTCAGCATCACCATTTGTCCTGTCTTCAGAATATAATCCTGAATTTTAACTTTGTTTGCCTTGAAGGTTAGAGCTTGCTCGACAATCTGTTTTTTGATTGGAGACAACTTTCTTTGTTTGGGTAGGAGCATATATATGTTTTTATCTAGATAATATAAAATATTAATATTAAAATATAATATAATATTTTTCCTACTTAGATCATGATTTTTATGTTCTTCCATAAATTTCACGATGACTAAATGAGGCCCAACGATAGGATCTAACTTGTATATAACCGTAAAGTTGAATGTACACTCTTTACGGAAGCTAGATGTCTTCCTTAATCCCGTTGAACGAGACCTCTTTTTCAAAGAATATTTACAGACATAAAATATTCTTTGATATTTAAATTGTTTAATTAACTCTATGCTACATGGATACTTCAACAGTTCTGATTTATATATGGATATATTTATTAGATTTTCCTTTTCATATATATCTATTGACTTTTTTAAAGTGTCAATAGAATTAAATGTTGCATTTAGATATAATGCCATTTATCTTTATAACAACTAAAAATTTTATAAATATTATAATTTAAATTTAATTTACCTGATTTCTGTTGAATTTATTTGCAACCTTGTATATAAAGCTTAATAAGGAGACCCAAATAGTATATATGGACAGCTAAAATTTGTGTTTTTTAAAAATATTATAATTAAAATTTATTTTCAAACCTTTTATATAAAGCTCAATAAGGACACACAAATAGTATATAAGGCAGAGACCTGCATAGGCACCACAGCCCGGCCCGGGTATATTTAAAAAAATTAAAATACGGCCTGACCCCTCTGATATAAGGACTGCTAAAATTTGTGTTTAGGTGAGATGATGATTATTTCTTAGATAAGATGATAGAAAAGAAAATAATAATTATTTTTATAGTTTAATATTCTAGTATTATATAATTTATATTATAAAATTAGGTATTTTACGTATGCCAGGTTTAAACTCTAATGTACAACATGCAACTTGACCATTAGAATGCTATAAATTTTTTATTACTCCAAATATTACGAAATCTCAATAATAAAATACACAAAATCCAAAAAATTATAATTCAAAAAATTCCCTCATCTTCCAAAACTCAAAACTGATGCAACTCAATTAAATGCTTTGAAATAGGTTTATTATTGATTGCAGGTATACATAAATCCTATTATCAGAATTTAAGAGATCTATGGAGTAATGATGTTTAAAATATAGAAATTTAAATTTATTCATCATATTGCTAAAATTCATATCAGAGATATCTTTAATAATTTTAATGAAAACTGTAACAAGATTAATCAATTTTTTATAATTTGTTGACTATATCTTGCATAAATTCTAATAATAATTTGTAGGAGATTAATAGATCAAAGTTTATAAAATTATTAAAACCTATATCAACCAAACAAAAAGGAAGGTGCTCCTTTTTTGTCCACAGAGTTAAGGACAAGAAAACCCCATTTATTTGTTCTAAATTTATATGAATATATTATAATTAAAATTTATATATAATAAACCTGAAGTTTAATTTGCTTAATCTTGTAAATAAGTTGTGAAATAAGGAGATCAAAATAGTTATAGGACACTAAAATTTATATATTATAATTAAAATTTATATATAATAAACCTGAAGTTTAGACTTTGTAATCTTGTAAGCAAGTTAAATAAGGAGATCAAAATAGTTATGGACACTAAAATTTATATATTATAATTAAAATTTATATATAACAAACCTGAAGTTTAATTGGACAATAAAAAAGGCGGGAAGGTTGCACATCC